ATAGATGTTTTGACTAGGGGGCAAAAGCGTGACAAAAATGGGATATTGGAGTGATCTTAAAGCATCTCCCTACAAGACACTTACTAATTATATAAAGGAAAATATCACCCTTGCAATGGAGGGCTTCAACAGACACTGCCTGAACCAAAGGATCAGAGCAGCCATGCCCAGTGATGGGACATCAACTTAATGCTGAGGTGCTTGACTGAGGAGTATACATCATTCCGGTGGCATTTGTGCCCTAGGAGCAAAACAACCCAAAAGGAATGAGCAAACATCAGGTAAACCCAAATGGAGGGGCCTTTTACAAAACATCCTCCAAAGGGTTCCAAGTCATGCGAGGCCAAGAAAGCCTCAGGAATTGTTTTAATTTCAAGGAAGCAGCAACAACAACCACAATTAAATGCAATTTAGGAGCCTGTGCCAGATCCTGGAACAGAAAAGAAGCATTAAAAGCAATGGACATTGGAAAAACTAATGAATACAAGTAAGGCCTGGACATTAGTTAGTGTCATTGATTCCACGGTCATGATCACTGTGCCTTGAGAATTCCTTGTAGTGTTTCATCGACTTTCTCTGAGTCTAAAATAATTTCAAAGTTAAAAAGTTGCTTTTAAAAAATGATGCTGGAGATCATATTTATGAAATGTATTTTTTTTAAAAAACCTTGATGTTTTTTAGTATCTTTCCATGGTTGAATTTTCTAACCTTTTTGTTTTATATTTCTTTGCTAATTTTTTAAAAAGATTAGCTTTGATATAAAAAACTTTAGTCAAAGTAATATATTTTATGGTTTATCAAGTTATTAGTGCTAAATGTTGAAGACTGAAAATAGTATTTCAAATCTTACTCCTTCAAAGCAATCATTTCCATTTTTATTTTTATTTTTTTCCATTTAAAAAAATATATATTTTTTGGTACTGGGGATCAAACTCAAAACCTTGTGCTTGCAAAGCAGGTGGCAGCACCACTGAGCTAAACCTCCAGCCCTATTTTTCTTTAATATTCCTTCTCCTCCCCATCTTTTCTTTCCTTCTTCTTTCCCTGTCCCTTTATCTCTTTCTATCTTATGCATTTTTAAGAATCCACTAAAACATTTGCCAAATGTTAGCAGAAAGTACTGTAAATTACCTCACCAGCCTCTGTAGAGGAGGCCACTGCCGAGAGGCACCAGCCAGGGGAATAAGGAAACAGAGGCCAGGTGAACCTGGAAGGGAGGGGTGCTTCCTCAGGCTGACACTGTTGTCAGAGATACCAGACCTGCATCGTGAGGAGAGAGAAGCAAACACTAATATGTTTCTGATAACGCCGGATACACCAAGCACGGAGTGATTGGCTGCGTAACAAAGGTTCTGATTATTTTCAAGGCTCTGTAGACACAGAGCATGAATAACTGGTGAGCTATAGAAAAAGCGCACGAACTTGGTTCTACTAACCGTGGCTATATATATATATCTATATATCTATAGATATATATATATGACCAACTTCCGGTCACTTCCGCTATTTCTCCCACCATAGGGTGCTCCCCTTCCCCCAGCGAGTCTCTCCTGCCCCACACATTGAGCCCTCTACCCCAGTGAAGACTCCACCCCTTGCTTCACTCTGACACTTTAATGCCAACCAGGCTGCTTATAGATGTTGCCCTCTCCTGCGAGCATGCTGCAACCCCAGCAAGGGGTCTAAATGGGAATGCCCGTCTCTCCACTGGGGCCAGTTCTCCCAAAGCCAACGTAATTTCTCTCCGGCAGGGTTTTCCACTTCGACCTAGACAGACCCCAAGATAGATAAATAATAGGCGCTAGGATAGGGACCTGAGTAAATGGACAGAAGCCCTCGGAAAGTAGAACACAGGTGAAAGAGGTTCACTGAAGCCCGCCCCGGAAAGCTGGAGGGCAGCAGAGGGCAGAAGCCGAGTTAAAAATAGCAACCGCGTTGTTTCATTTTCACAAAACGGACCAACAAAATGCGCATAAATCCTTGAGTTTGGGCAGCTTCTCACCACCCTCCTTTGGAGCCCCTCTACACTAGTGAGAGCTTTTCTCTGTTCTCTCTAATAAACTACATCTGAGTCATTCCCTACAGCTACTTTCGTGGACTCTGTTTCACATCCTCTTCTGAACAAGAACCCAGAGAGAGAGAGAGCTGGGAACAGTAGCCTCCCGTGGGGATTCCCTCTAAAACCTTGCTCCATTCTCTCTCCCTGTGTTGATTGCTTCTTCCCCCCAACCACCACCAGGACGTTTACACTACTCAGCCCCTGTATAACAGCTTTTGAACTGAAGACAGAAGAAGAGGAGGAAGATGACCTGTCCCTTTCACTCATGCTTTTTATTCTGTCTGGAAAACGTCTTTAAAAGCCCGCAGGTGTTTGTCTTCAGACTCACTAGCCAACTTTCCTCCCACCTCACCAACCAAAACAGGTTGAAGGGGGGAGGGGAGGGGAAAGGAAATAAGTAAAAGAAAAAAATGTGGAAAAAATGGAATCAAAGTCTTTGTAAATAGGGAAGGCTGAAGGGGGTGAAGGGAGGGCAGGGGTGTGGGTGCAAAACAAGAACCAAGACATATCTTGTAAAGGTACAAGATCCCAAAGATGAACGTAACTGTGTTGTTTGCTTCGAATGTACCAGTAAACTTAATGAGGAAAAAATAGGTTGAATGCAATCCAGCTCAGCCACCACAATAGTCTTGGCTTCTCTTTGTCACCTCCTAGATCCTTCTTATTGTCACTTCAACTTTTATCACAAAACAGTCTAGGGAATGATAGGGCAATTAATGAAATAAGACTGGGTATGCTGACCTTCCAAGGGCCATTGATGGTACACACATCCTCCTTTTGTGAATTAGGAAGAAACCCTCCTTCATGGTAGAATTTGGGGAATGGGCAAGTACTCAGTAAGTGGCTTTTACAAGATCACTATGTTGTACTTTGGATGCACTTTAAACGCGCCCCCCTCGGTCATTAAGAGTCACAAGGCAATGGTTATGCTTGACCTATATTTTGTTGTATTACCTGCACCCAAAACATTATCAGATATCTGATGGATATTTGATAAAAATAAAGTAAATGAATGAGAACTTTGTGATCAGATAACACACACACATATTGTTGGACAGATGCTCATATAGGTATAGATTATCAAACCACTCTCCTTTTAAAATTCATTTCAAATTTCAGATGCTCTCTGACCTCTGCCTTTAATTTTTCCTCAAGGTTTCAAGTATATATGTTCATCACTTCAAGTATTTATAAATCATAAAATATTAACTATACAGTACATCACTTCATATTATTGGAGTGCTTGTGCATATGTGTATGGAGGTCACAGTGGGGTGTGCAGCTCCCAAGATGGCCCCTGTGATCCTCGGCTCCTGGGATTTGCATTCTTGGGTAGTTTGCCAACCTAAGCCAGGTCTGGCTGGTGAAGAGATGGGAATAGAGGAGGTGGTCTGTGACTGCCAAGGCTACATCCTAACAAGCTCTATGGCTCCTGTCTTTGTTTCCTGAAACTTTGACTCTGGGTGCTGTCTTTAAGATGCTTAGGCAGCCCTCTGAGATCAGGGGAAAGAGCTGAGGCCCCTCCCCAGCAGCCACCACTAACTTGACAACACAGATGTGACCCTTCTGGAGCGTGACTCCTTCAACCTGACAAGCTTGGCCAGCTGCCACCTGTAGTGAAACTTCAGGACAGACCCCAAGTGACCCTCACCCAGTCAAGCCATTCCAAATCCTGACCCATGGAAGAGGTGGGAATTAATAAATCCTTATTGATTTGGGGGATATTTGGTTATTCGGCAGAAGATATTGGCATCACTCAGTCTGATTTTTTGGAGTGATAGCTTCAATTTGTAATTTTCTGCCCAGCTGCACAATCATGTTTTAACTGAGAAATCATGCGTCTTTGCTGAGAAAATGTCTTTTAAAGTGTCAGTGACTTTCTTACTGTTTCAGATGTTGGAGGATGCTAATGTTCAGGACAGTTCTATGAAGTTAACTCCTGTTAAAACCACTTTCTAGATGGGAACACAGAGGTTCACAGTGACTGCAATGCTGCAGGTCAGGCAGCCTGTAAGTGGAGCAAGCCAGAGTTGGGTTTAGTTCTTTCCAAATCTATGACCCATGGTCTCAACTATTGTGCCAAATCCGCTTTCTGTAGGATGGTTCTTGATTGTTGGCCAAGGCCTGGGATAAGTCCGAAATATGCATTATCAAATTTGAACCTTACCAATGTGACGGTTATTTTAAACATGACAAAGCGATACCACTGGGAGCGCATGTTCCCATAGATTGGTTGGGATAAATAACGATACAACAAGAACTGCCACATGCTACAGGTGCTAAGCCGCATGACTTTCCTGTAGGTCATTTCCTATGGGTGCAAACACGGGAGACACATTGACAGGAGAGGGAGAAAGAGAAGGGGAGTTTGGGAAAGAGGAAGGAAGGAAAGCTTGAGAATTGTAAGACCTCCTCCCCTTAAGTCCCAATCCGGAGTGAGGCACAATGAAGACATTTTGCCCCAAGACGGGAATGAAGAGTATTGCAAAGCAGAAGTCTGAAAAAGGACTCGAGTGGGGAAACACGTGGTAGGAGTTTGGCAGAACTTTCAAGAGAACTGATAATGGGTGATGACGTACTTTTTTGGTGTAAAGAAGACAGAATTTGTATATTCTTCCCATTGCAATCAATAGGTACCCTGGCCCAGGGCTACAAATTGTTCTGTCTGTCTGTCTGTCTGTCTGTCTGTCTGTCTTCCCTCTTTCCTCCCTCCTTCACTTCTTTCTTTTTCCCTTTCTACCTTCCTCCTTTCCTTCTTGCTTCTCTCACTGTCCTCTTCCCTTCCTTCCTTCTTTTCTTCTATCCTCTTTCCTTTCTTTTCTTTTCCTTTTCCTTTTCCTCCCTTCCTCCCTTGGGCTTCCCTAAGAAACTGCCTAATTTTTAAAAGTTAACAGCTAACTCTTTTCATGTTACTTTTTAAACACAATGTGGGTGAGCAGAACCTGCCTGGCGGCCTGAGGTGCCCCACAGGCTGCCTGTCTGTGGCGTCTTCTGCAAAGAAGCTCAAGGTCAGGAGGGGGCAAGGCTGAAGGACCAACTGCCAAGACAGAGAACAAAGAGAGGGAGAAAACAAGGGGAGCTCTGTACCGCTTCTAGCCCACAGGCTGTTGATCAGCCATCAGAAAGTGGACCAAGGTGGGTGAGATATCCAGAGGCTGCTGGACAGAGAATAAGCAGTGGCCTATCCTCATAGCTGTGAACTTGGTGGACTATGATCTCGGGGAGAGAAAGTGCTGTCAAATCAGAAAGGCGTTTCAGAGCAGAAGTCCCTTGGCGGGCATGGGTTCTGTTCTCTGTTAAAGCATCTGATCACTGGCGGTTTTATTCCCTCTTCAGTTCGCTTTTGACTCTTGAACATAAGGGATTGCATGCAAACTGGCAGGGAATGATCTCCTGCCCGACTTCAGATGATTATGTGCGTTAATAATGATGAGCGTGTCAGTGTAATATTTGCATGAAAAACTATAGACATCTGGTGGCATGTGCTTGTGTGTGTGGTGTTTGTTGGGAAACAGAATCAAAAGCTAAATGCGGGTGAAATGTGAAATCTAACCATTTCGATGAAGACTAAAAATAAAGTGGGCAGCTTTATGGTTTCTGCGTGCCTGCAGTTTTGAACCTTTCACACCTGAGACTGGAGACTCAGGTTACCGTGGAAACACTGGGCTATGCATATACGGCGAATTGAGTACACGATTTGTGGGGCTGGCCCTTGGGGGTCCTATTACAGAATTTCGTATGTTTAGAAATATTTTGTAACTGGGCCCCTGGCATCACTTTTTAGTAATAAAATGTACAACTGCCTTCATCCTCATCAACCACAAATTTGTTTCTTATGGAAATGAATCAGCATGCGTTCAGGTGAAAGCATGTGTGTGAGTGCCCGTATAATTTTAACTCCCTCCAAGTGTGATGCTACAGTTGATATTTTTCTAGGTAATTCTTCCTTTTTTCTAAGCTGCAGAACCACTCAGAAATCTCTAAATTTTGTACAGAGCCCCAGGTTAGAAGGAGAGACCCAGGGAAGGATGCAGGAAGCTGGGGATCTGCAGGTGTTTTCTTTGAAAGTGCAGATTTTTAGGTAATGGCTGATGTTCACCATCACTAGCATTGCAAAATCCAGGAGACCTGGTTGGGCAAACCTTCATTCCATTGTAAATGTTGTGCTGCTTCAGTGTGGTTAGAGTAATATTCATATAAAAGAAATAAAAGTGAAAAGAAGGCTGTGATTTTTGTTTTCATTACCTGCTCTGAGTGGCCAGGAGAAAATGATATTTACCTCCTTGGTTCTTTTCCAAAGTGTTCATCTAACTGTCTTCGGTAGCAGAAGAAATGTTCCTCTCTGTGAATGGTTTTCAGCCCATTTCAGGAAGGCCTGCAGTTTAATATTCCCTGGTGGCCTCTGTGGCGTTATCAGAAGGCTGTGCCTCCCGGAAACTGCAGATAGCCTGGCACTGTTTCCAGATGCTATGGCCACCTGAGCTGGTTGGGGGTTCGAGCTCTTCTTGCAAAGTGCAACTGATTCATGGTAGAGCAGGGAGAGCTGGGTCCTGGGGTTCATCCGACCTAGAGCGCAATGCTTCTGCCGTTCACTTACCATGACCCTGGACATTTTTGTAATTGTCCTGTGCTTTCTCCTCATCTGAAAAGCTGGAGCACTAATACTTACATCATGGAACAGATGAAAGGGTGAGGAGCTATGTAGCCAATAAAAAAATTAAAATGGATAAGAATAATGATTAACACTTAAGTGGAGCACATTCTGCACAAGACACACTATGCTGAACACTTAATGTTTCAGCCTCACCATAATCCTTTCAGGTGAGTAATGTGATTTCTGCCATTTTTATAGCTGGAAGAAAAATAAAGGCTTAGGGCAGTAAATACTCAGCCTAAGGTTTATAAAACCTTTTGAGTTAAGGCTCAAACATAGAGCTGGCTACATTAAGGACATTTTTTATTCTACTAAATGAAGGCAAAGCAATGTTTTTATTAATAACAGAGGTGAGGGTGATAATTAGAAAATTAGCCCTGCAATTTTTAAGAGGCTAGAGGAAGGGACTGGAGAATTAAAGCTCTTCGGAGATTAAGACTGGTGGAATGTTTACCAGGCAAAAGATTCCATTTGTAATCCTAAAGTGAAGCAAAAAGATTATTAGCTTGGCAATTTCATATTGGAATCTGGAACCTATCAGATCAAATGATGAGGGCGCTGGTGTAGACATTTCTTACTGCAATATTTGTGTGGAGGGTCTGAGGATGTTTTCTCTGGGATTCAGGAATTGTCACTGTCTCCTCTCCCTGGCGTTGGGGTCAAGGTCAAAGAGAGACATCCTGATCAGAGCTGTATACTCCAGAGTGAGATTGGGACTATTAGATCTAATGCCATACTTGCTCATCTCATGTGCTCAAAAGAAACCACATTTAAATTTGAGATAACATGTAAGAAAAATAAGCCAAAATAGCAAGGGTCTGGTTCCCCATAGACAGCTTTGCTGAGCTGCATAGTCAAAAGTACTAGGGAATTTGGGATGAAGAAAGTCCCTCACTGCCCACCACCTCCAGGATTTTCTGTGATGGTGCACATGTTTTAGATCTCAGTGACTCGCTATAGTTACTGAACCCCTGCCATGTGGTCAGTGTAAGTGTGATGAAACTGAACGCTTGATTTCTTTTAATTAACTAAATTTTAAAATTCACTAAACGTAGTGGAGGAATAGACCCAAAAACTGAGCTGGGGGTGTGTAAACCAGACCATGATGAAGGCTGTAATCTCAAGGTCTGGAGGAGGTACACGACGTGACCCTTCCCCTCTTCAAGACTTGGGAAAGTTCAGTTGTTTATCTAAGCTTAGGGCAGCCATCTATAAAATGGGGGCAATTTTAGCAAAATCATTTTGAGTTTGTTGTGAGAAGGGAATATTTTACACGAGGCTCTTAAGGTTTAAAACAGAGTTAACAGAGTACTAGCAGTTATTAATAGCATTATGACTATTATTAGCATTTTGTAATCAAATAATGCACAGGTTGTTGCAAAGAGGAGAGAGAGAGAGAGAGAGAGAGAGAGAGAGAATATAAACAACTCTATGGTGATGAGGAAGGCAGATGTGGGAGGAATGCCAGAACAAAATTCACACAAGGGGTGATATTTGTGCTTCACTGGTCACAGATGATGGCTGTATAGTTGCTCAACAAGGTGACAGAGAGTGAATCCAGTTGAAGGTGTTTTGGGATGTCTACTGTGTTTTGAAGGACTCTGGCTTGTTTGGGGAACTGGGCACCCCAAATATTGAATGCATAGAGTTAGATATGAGCAAGGTCCTAAGGTCTAACAACCACAGTGGATATTCTGTAGATTATAGTGATCTATTGGATGGATTTATGGAGGGAGGCGAGACCAGATTTTCATATCAAGAATAAATCTGGCTGCTCTGGGCGAATGAGTGAAGGGGGAAGGAGGCCAAAGAGTGAGATATCAGTAAGAAGGAGGTGTGAGGTGATAAGCCTCTGAATTAAGTCAGTGGTCTTGGTGATGGGGAAGAGGTGCATCTGAGATGCAAGCTAGAGGAAAACATGGCAGGACTTGGGAGGAAAGTGAAATTGAAATATTCATAATCAAGAACCAGATTAAAGTAAATAACAGTAATGGTGATCACATTGGTTAGTTTGTTCACGGTGCTTTTTATCTTGCAAACCATTTATCTCCTTCTATCCTTCCAGTAGCCAAATGGATACCCTGAAAATTAAAAGAAAGGATGTGTCAGAAGCGTCCAGGCTTCAGTGAGATGCTCAGCACACAGCAAGTGATTATCATGGTCGAGGTTAGTGTTAATCCTTGTTGCTGTCACTAATGCTGTTGAAAGCTTACATTTTATTCACTTAAAAGAGACAAGTCCAGACCAGAGAGGACCCTTGAGAGACTAGAGAATGGAATGTTACATAAAACAAAGAATTCAGAGGGCCCTTCGCCTCCAGGCAGAGATACTTTGAGGACCTTGGGGCATGTAGTTCTTCATGGGCTTTCCTTGTCCTGCATGTAAAAATATGAATATTTTAGCTGATACTCTGCCTGGCCCCTTGTGTGCCCCCCGCAAGCTTTTGGATTGTGTCTTTATTTGGAATTATTCTTAATGAACTTAGCATAATGAAAAGAATTCTGGTTAGGAGTTAGCCAGTAACAACAGATTTGCATACGATTTCTATTAAGTGGATTTTTTTTTCCACTTGCTTATTTGATGGAGGGAACAGCTAAGGAGAAATAGCAAGACATTTCAGTATTTTTTTTTTCTCATTGGTCCAAATCAGGATAGTATTATTCAAATTGGAGCATTTGTTTCATGTTGGTAACATCCTACTTTTATTGGAAAAAAAGTGGGGGAGGTGGGGAGACACACAGAGACAGAGACATCCAATGATCACAATTTATTTTTGTTCTGCTTTATGGTATTTCTATGGCTTATACGGCCCTAAGATTTTGGCTAGTAAATCTGAGAGAGGAGCCCAAATGAAACTAATCCTGTTTAAAACAGCCTTCAAGGCAGTTTGCTTTAAAAACTAGTTAGCTGGAGATGGTGAAACAGGAGGCTTCATACACACTTCCAGCCTCAGAGCTAAAGCGCGCTCCTGAGAATCAGTCCTTGAGCACTTACTCCTGGTGGCCTTCTCTCTCAGATGGGCAGGGCTGGCAAATCTTTTCTTTGATGTTGTTCTCAGTTGTGAACCAGAATAAATCTAACAGTCAAGCTAGCCCTGGCAACCGTGCCACAGTAGGCAAATGAGGCCAAAGCGAGTAATTGTTTTTTTCAATTTGGATTTCAGAAAGCTTTATATTTCAGGATAAAGAGGCATCAAAAGAGTTGCAACTCTATCTCAGAATCACTGCCGCCCTTTGGAGGTAGGTTGCTCCCCTTTCCCACCATGGCAGCACTTGGGGCTTTTTCTGAAGAGTCACTGACTAGGCAACATGGGAAAGTGAACCGTTCCATGAAAGTTAAAGCCCAAGTACTTAAAAACATTTCTTTAAATATTCAAGCTCTTTCTTCTCATTTTGGGTTTTAATGATAGGAACATTTTAAATAATTATTTCACTTTCCACCCTGTCTTCTTTTTTAGTTTTACCTTATATTTTTACTAGTACAAGTTTGCAGACGTGATTACTTTCATTGCAGGGAGTCGGTCCATGTGCAAACACATCTTATTTCTTTTTACTTTCTCTTTTCTGACCTTTCCCCTGCTCCATCTCTAGATACCCTTATACAAAAGATCTATCTCTCTGTTTCTGATTATCTAGCCTTTATCTTCCTCTTTAAATTATTTTTGCTTTGTGTTTTTCACATAATTGAAACCATGCAATATTTAAGTTTGTGGTCTCATTTATTTCACTTAACATTATTATGGTCTCAAAGTGCATCCATTTTCCTACAAATGACTTACAAGTATCCTTCTTTATAGCACAGCAGCACTCCCTTGTGCATAAATATATTTTCTTCTATACATTCATCTGTTGATGGATATATAGGCTACTTCTAAGATTTAACTATTATGAATTGTGCTGCTGTAAATATGACTGTGCATGTATCATTGTAAATACAATGTCTTCAGCTCTTTTGAAAAGGTACTCAGAAATTTAGCTGAGAGTTGAATGGGATTTCTATTTTTGTTTTTTGGAGGAATCTTCATACTGATATCCATAATGGATTTACTAGTTTGCTTTTCTACCAACAATGTAAAAATGTTTCTTTTCTCCCCCATAGACTCACCAGCATTTATTAGTATCTGATTTCTTGATAATAGCTATTCTTCCCATGGTAAGATAAAAATCTCAGTGTTTTAATTTGCATTTCTCTAATGGGTAGAGATGTTGGACATTTTTTCATATATCTCTTGGCCATTCACACTTCTGTTAAGAAGTCCCCTCTTCTCTCTTAAGTAAAGTTCATTCAACACAACATAGCCTTTCTCTAGTGAGTCAAGGTAAGTGTCAAACACATTCTTTGTTGACCTGATATATATTTGCTCAAGAGGGAAGTATGTTCATTCTTGGAATAGACATCACTGCACAAGCTCAGCTTTTTGAACAACTGTGGTGGCGTTTCTTGGTATCTTTTTAAAGATTTACTCTCCTTGAGGGCAACATCCAGACACCAGGGTCCGTCCAGGCTGACCTGGAAAACAGCTGCATAGGCACAGCCAGAGGCCCGCGCAGATACCATCAGTAAGTGCTCTCACAGACCCAGCCAGAAGTCCACTCATACACCAGCAACTCAGGTGCACAACCCCCAGCCAAAAGCCCTTCCAGCCAACAGCTACACAGTTGGGCAGGCCCCAGCCAGAGGCACATCCAGATACCACCCTAAGTATGCATAGGCCCAGCCAGAGCCTGCCTGGACAACAACGCAGAGCAGGGATCCACAAAGTCACCATTCTGAACTCAGGAATTGGCATGGTGGTGAGCAGCAGAGAGAAGGCTTCTCTGAGGCTGGCTGAGAATTGAAGTCCACTGGGTGAACAAAGAATCACCTCAACAAAGACACAGTGGGCTGCAAGTGTTGAAATGAGAAGACACATAAAGAAGACTTAAAACCAGACTTCCAGATAGCCTAAGGCAACCCCAAGGGGGAACAAGATGGAACAATCTGATACTCAACCATCTGGACTCCCTGAACTAGCAAAGAAAGAGGACCTGGAAAAAATGAAATCAGAAATTACTTCTCAGATAAAAACAGAGACTGTGTCCATAGTGAAAGACATGATTAATAATTCTAGAGCAGACACAGATAAAAAATAGAGGAGCAAAGGAGCATGATGGAATCCCAGCATAGGAAGCAAATGGAATCCATAAGACAGGTGCAAATAAATATCAAATCCATTGCCAGTCTGTGCACCAGAATTAGCCAGTGTGAGGACAGAATATCAGATATGGAAAACAGGATTGCAATTAGTGACCAGGAAAAGAAAAATTTCTTAAAAATAGTAAGGGATCAAGAGAAATCAATTCAGCAGCTGCTAAGAAAATGCAAAGAATAACATAAGACTGATTGGAGTCGATGAAGAAATAGGAGAATGTAAATGACACAAAAAATTGTTCATAGGGCTGAGATGTAGCTCAGTGGCACCACGCCTGTCACAAGGTCCCAAGTTCAATCCCCAGTGCCAAACAAATAAGCAAACAAAACAACAAAACTGTTTACAGAAGTAATGGCAGAAAACTTCCCAAGCAGGGGAAAAGAATTTGACATACAGATGAGTGAGGCATATAGGACTCAAAAAAAATCTATACCTAGGCATATAATAGTTAAGATTTCAGAAATCCAATAGAAGAACAAAATACTACAGGCAGTTGGAGAAAAGAAACAAATCATATACAAAGTCCATCAGAATCAGAGCAGATTTCTCAACACAAACCCTCAAGCCGAGGAGCCCACAGTGAAGTATTTCAATCCCTAAAAGAAAACAACCTCCAACCCAGACTGATGTACTCTGCAAAACTATCTTTTAAAGTGGATGGAGAAATAAGATATTTTCATCATGACAAAAACACCTGAGGAACTTCATGAATACCAAACCAGCACTCCAAAATATTTTAAACAATATCCTAGAAAAAGACAATGAGGATCACAATCCCAGGAAGCCCAGCAGAATGAATCCACTAGGCAAAACAAGAAATTAAATTCAAGGGGGGAGAATCCAACAAAAAGAAAGGTCGTGACAAGGATAAATATATATCAGTTATAGCCATCAATACTAATGGTCTCAATTCACCAATCAAAGCAAATAGACTAACAGAATGGGTCAAGAAGCAAGATCCAACAATATGCCGCATACAAGAAACACACTTAATACAAAAAGAAACTCATAGATGGAAAGTTAAGGGGTAGAAAACAATATACCATGTGACAGGAATCCCCAAAAATGCAAGAGTAGCTATCCTATTTTCAGATCAAATACATATCAAACCAACACTAATTAAAAGAGACAAAAATGGACACTACATTTTGGTAAAGAAAAGAATCCAAAAGGAAGAGAAGACAACCATAAATACACAGGAACCAAATATTAGTGCACCCAACTCTATGAAACAAATAATAATGGGTGTGAAAAATCAAGTAAGTACTAATACAATAGTAATGGAGAACCTCAATATCCCACTATAACAAAAAGATAGATGAATTAGACAAAAAATAAACAACAAAAAACTAGAACTCAATTAAACTTTTGAACAAATGGACTTACCCAATATTTATAGTGTTCCACACCACAAAATCAGTATACACATTCTTCTCAGCTGCACATGGTTTGTTCCCCAAAACAGATCATGTACTTGCTCATAGAACATGTTTAAGTAAGAGCAAAGGAAGTTATCCCCTGTATATTATAAGACCATAGTGCGATGAAATTGGAGATCAATAGCAAATGAAACCACAATAATTCCATAAACACATGGAGATTAAACAACTTTTTTCTGATTAACTAATAGGTTACAGAGGAAACTAAAGAAGAAATCAGTTTCTTCAATTAAAAGACAATGCCAATAAAACAATTGGAATCTATGGGACACATTGAAAGCAATCATATGAGAGAAATTCATAGCAGTTAATACTCATATTAGTAAAACAGAATGAGCTCAAATAAACAACCTAATGATGAACCTCAAGCTTCCAGAAAAGGAAGATCAGGACAAACCCAAAGCTCATACAAGGGAGGAAATTATAAAAATCAGAGCTGAAATCAATTCAATGGAAACTAAGAAAAATATACCAAAAAAATGAAGCAAAGAGTTGGTTCTTCAAAAGTATAAACACAATTGATAAATCCTTAGCCAACCTTATCAAAAAAAAAAAAATGAGGATCACAATCCCAGGAAGCCCAGCAGAATGAATCCACTAGGCAAAACAAGAAATTAAATTCAAGGGGGGAGAATCCAACAAAAAGAAAGGTCGTGACAAGGATAAATATATATCAGTTATAGCCATCAATACTAATGGTCTCAATTCACCAATCAAAGCAAATAGACTAACAGAATGGGTCAAGAAGCAAGATCCAACAATATGCCGCATACAAGAAACACACTTAATACAAAAAGAAACTCATAGATGGAAAGTTAAGGGGTAGAAAACAATATACCATGTGACAGGAATCCCCAAAAATGCAAGAGTAGCTATCCTATTTTCAGATCAAATACATATCAAACCAACACTAATTAAAAGAGACAAAAATGGACACTACATTTTGGTAAAGAAAAGAATCCAAAAGGAAGAGAAGACAACCATAAATACACAGGAACCAAATATTAGTGCACCCAACTCTATGAAACAAATAATAATGGGTGTGAAAAATCAAGTAAGTACTAATACAATAGTAATGGAGAACCTCAATATCCCACTATAACAAAAAGATAGATGAATTAGACAAAAAATAAACAACAAAAAACTAGAACTCAATTAAACTTTTGAACAAATGGACTTACCCAATATTTATAGTGTTCCACACCACAAAATCAGTATACACATTCTTCTCAGCTGCACATGGTTTGTTCCCCAAAACAGATCATGTACTTGCTCATAGAACATGTTTAAGTAAGAGCAAAGGAAGTTATCCCCTGTATATTATAAGACCATAGTGCGATGAAATTGGAGATCAATAGCAAATGAAACCACAATAATTCCATAAACACATGGAGATTAAACAACTTTTTTCTGATTAACTAATAGGTTACAGAGGAAACTAAAGAAGAAATCAGTTTCTTCAATTAAAAGACAATGCCAATAAAACAATTGGAATCTATGGGACACATTGAAAGCAATCATATGAGAGAAATTCATAGCAGTTAATACTCATATTAGTAAAACAGAATGAGCTCAAATAAACAACCTAATGATGAACCTCAAGCTTCCAGAAAAGGAAGATCAGGACAAACCCAAAGCTCATACAAGGGAGGAAATTATAAAAATCAGAGCTGAAATCAATTCAATGGAAACTAAGAAAAATATACCAAAAAAATGAAGCAAAGAGTTGGTTCTTCAAAAGTATAAACACAATTGATAAATCCTTAGCCAACCTTATCAAAAAAAAAAAAGGAAAGCAAAGACCCAAATCCATGCAATTAGGAGTGAAATGGGTAAAATTACAGCAGAAACCCAGAGGATCATCAGTACCTTCTTTGAAAACCTATTTGACAATGAGGTGGAAAACACAGAAGAAATGGACATATTTCTAGGTACATATGAATTACCAAAGTTGAACAAGCCAATATCAATCAATGAAATTGAAAACATAATTAAAAACTTACCTACTAAAATAAATAAATAAACCTACCAACTGAGAAAAGCCTGGTGCCTGATGGCTTCACTGCTGAATTCTATGAGTAATTTAGAGAAGAACTATTGTTGCTATTGTTGAAACTCTTCAGTGAAATTGAGAGGGAAGAAATACTCCCAAATTCATTCCTGGAAGCAAGCATTACCATGATCCCCAAAGCAGAGAAAAACCAAACCAAAAAAGAGAACTATAGTCCAATGTCATTAATGAATATGGATGCAAAAATCTTTAATAAGATACTGGCAAAAATAATTCAAAAGATCATCAAGAGTATCATACACCCTGACCAAGTGGGATTCATCCCAGGGATGCAGGAATGATTCAACACATGCAAATCTATAAATGTAATACACTATATTAACAGAATTAAAGAAAAACACAATATGACCATCTCATGGACGCAGAAAAAGCATTCAACAAAATCTATCATCCAGTTACAATTAAAACCCTATAGAAAATTGAGGTACACAGTCTCAATCTTAACCTGATAAAAGCCATCTATGAAAATCCAACAGCCAATATCATACTAATTGTCAAAAGCTGAAATCCTTGCTGCTAAAATCAGGAAGAAGACAAGGATGTCCACTAGCACCATTACTACTCAATATAGTTTGTGAAACATTAGCCATAGCAATTAGAAAAGAGAAAGAAATAAAAGGAATAAAGATAGGAAACAAAGAAGTTAAATTGTCATTATTTGCAGATGACATAATACTCTATAAAGAAGACACCAAGAACTCCACCAAAAGTCTTCTAGACTTAACAACCAAATTCAGTAGAGTAGCTGGATACAGGATCAACACACAAATATCAATAACCTTCCTATGCACAAACAAGAGACTCTCTTAGACAGAAAAAACAGAAACAACTGCTTTCACAATAGCATCCAAAAAATGAAATACCTAGGAATCAACCTAACAAAGGAAATCAAAGACCTTACTCTGTAAACTACAGCACACTGAAAAAAGAGATCAAAGAGGATATCAGAAAATGGAAAAATATCCCTTCTTCCTGGGTAGGAAGAACCAATATAGTGAAAATGGAAATACTTCCATAACTGCTATATAGATTCAATGAAATCCCAACTAGAATTCCAACAGCCTACTTCACAGAACTTGAGAAAACAATCCACAAATGCATTTGGAACCAGAAGAGACCCAGAAGAGCAAAAGAAATTCTAGGTAACAAAGACAAGGTAGGAGGTATCACATCCCCTACTTGAAACTATACTACAAAGCTACTGTGACAAAACAGCATGGTACTGGCAAAGAAGCAGACCCGTGGATCAGTGGAACAGATTAGAAGATGAAGAAACAAGCCCAGGCACACTCAGCCACTTCATCTTTGACAAAAGATCCAAACACCCTCACTGGAGGAAAGATAACCTCTTTAACAAATGGTGTTGGAAAAATTGAGTTTCATCTTGCCAAAGATTAAAACTAGACCTATATCTTTCACCATGCACTAAACTAAAACTGAAATGGATTAAAGCATAAACACTAAACCAGTTGAAACAGAGATTAGGTAGAACTCTTGAAGACATTGGTACAGGAAAAGATTTCATGAACAAAAAGTCATACAAGAACTAGCACAAAGAAACAACAAGTAGGATCTCTTCTTATTAAAAAGCTCTGCACAGCAAGAGAAACCACCAACAGTGTGAAGAGACAACCTAAGATGTGGAGAAAAAAATTTTACCACCTGTTCCTCACACGAAGGTCTGCTATCTAGAATATGTAAAGAACTTTAAAAAATCGGACCTCCTAAATTTAAAAACTCAATCCAAAAATGGACATCTGAAATGAACAGACATTTATCAAAGATATATAAATAGCAAATAAACATATGAAAACATGCTCAACATCACCGGTCTTTCAAAAGATACAAATGAAAACCATGCTGAGATTCCACCTCACCCCAGAAAGAATGGCTGCTATCAAGAAATCAACCAATAACAAATGCTTGTGGGGCTGTGGGGACAAAGGAACCCTTTTGCACTGTGGGTGGGAGTGCAGACTGGGGAAACCACTGCGGAAATCAGTACAGAGAATCATGCCACAGCAATATATGCACACCCATATTTATAGTGGCAGTTTGTAATAGCTAAAATTTGGAAACAGCCCAATTGTCCATAAATGTATACAGGGTAAAGAAAATGTGTGTGTGTGTGTGTGTGTGTGTGTGTGTGCGAGTGTGTGTGTGTGTGTGTTTAATAATATGGAGGTTACTACCCAGCCATAAAGAATGAGAAGCTAGAGACATTTATAGCTAAATGGATGCACATTAAGCTTTACTTTTAAGTGAACTAAGTAGGATACACATATGTAAATACTGAAGAGTTTCTCTGGTGTGAGAAACTGAAAGTATAAACCAGGATCAAGATGTATAACAGATAATGTGAAATGGGAAGAAAAGGTTCAAGGGAGAAGGGTAAGTGGGAAGAACAGGGGAAAGGAAAGAAAGAAAAGGAATAAATACGAGAAAAGAAAAAATGGAAACAAAGTCTTTGTAAATAGGAAGGGGAGGAGAGACTGATGAGAGGCCAGGGGAATGGGGAAAAACAGGAACCAAGATATATTACATAAAGGTACAAATTCCAAATAACGAATGCCAGCATATTGTATACCTAAGCTGCACTAATAGAATTAATGAATTAAAAGAAAAATTTGCTCTCTTTTTTCCCACTGGATGTCTGGCATCTGATTTCCTTTCCCATTATCAACTTGCAGGAAACACCTTTCTTCTTCTGATGTGTGGCCTCTAATCTGTTTCCCAGGGTGAAACTGGATTATGAATTCTTGTTATAATTGTTATGAACGTACAAACACTTGGAGAAAGAATATCAAGCACAAACTTCCCTGGGACAAAGTGTGGGAATCCAGTCTATCTCTTTGGTGAAATATTCTCCAATTACTCAGAAGCTTGGCTATGTTTTTTTAATAGTTTCTATCTATTGAAAGGTGGTTCTCCCAAATTCATGTTGAAATTGTACCTGCAAAGCAACTGTCTTAAGAGGTTCAGCCTTTCAGAAGGTTGAAATTAATATCCTGTGACATCCTGCCAACTTGATTGGCTTGAAAGACATCTAAGAGATCAGTAGATCACACTTCTGGGCGTGTCTGGGAGAGCCAGAGCTGTTACCTTGGGGACTGGCCCTTTTCTTCCTGGCCCTTCTCCTCTGCTTTTATTTCTTGTTGCCATTCCTCCACTATGCCCTTCTCAATGAAGTTTGTACATCACAGCCACCCAAACATGGTTGAACCCCCTGAAACTGGAGCTAAAATAAAGCTTTTCCCTTTAAATAGTATATTTTGTCCCATTAATCAAAAAGTGACTAAAACACACCCTTCTTGCAGGGCATGGAGTAGCAGGGAACACAGCAAAGAGACACCATCTTGAATGCAGAGAGTAGCCCCCACTGGAAGTCAGTGCTGCTGCCTTGATCTTGGACTTGCTGGCCAAATGCAGCATAGAAACTGGACTAGAATTTCATAATCCTGGCTTGGCTAGATTAACATTCTAAGCCATTCCTGGATAGGACAGGAGTTGTCATTGAATAGATGAGCCCAGATCATATGAATGTTGGTTCAGTTTCATCTAAATAAGGAGGAGGGCTTGGGTTCTGAGGGGGAAATGTATGTTCTGTCATGAAACAAAGGGAAGTGAGTACTGATAGATAAAACAACAGGTGTTTAATTCATTCTTCTCTTCCTTTCATTATAGAACAGAACTGCGACATTCTGAAGGATTATCTTCAGTGTTTGCCTGAAACTAACATTAAAAGTTTGAGCAGCACTTTATGAGCTCAAAGAATCCTTCACAGCAGAGTCTACAAAGCCATTCCAACTACTTTTTTATGTTTAGATGAAAGACAGTGAACTCCTTGGCTGATCTTAATGCATACATTAATTCATTTAATTGACTTAAGCGTTGTTCTTACATAAGATGTTACTCGAATTGTTTTAAAAGACATCAATTTGTCATTAAAAGGGAAAATACTGTACAGTAGCTTTAAATATTTTTCTTTCCAATTCCTTTAACGTCTGTTTTCCTAAACACTGAGTGACAAAAGTGAGTAAGGGCTTCCTTACCAAGATAGAAATAATCTAAAACTTAGATGTGTCTAGCGCGATGAAGGCAGTGTAAATTAATTAGCCACACTGAGTCTGAATCAACAGCATCTCCAAATCAATCTTTCTTTTATGCCACTCTCTTTTCTAAAATGTGTTCACACTCAAGAGTAGCCCTTCTAGTTACCACTTCTCTTTTTCAAGCCAAAATCACAGTCAGTAAGAAATTCTATGTTTTTGCAGTTGTAGTTAATAATTCATTAATAAATATTGGAATTTAGACTTTATGCCAGAGGCCAAGCTGAGGGCTAACTGCCAAAGGTGAAAATATGAAAATAAAGAAGAGATTATCCCTATCCTGAGGGGGTTCATATTCTTTTGGCAAAATATTAAAGTATGTATACCCAAGGTTAAATTGTACTATATCAAACAACTACCAGTGTCATAAAGCAGGATAATTTTCAGCACCAAAATATAACTGCAAATAGAGTTGCACAGAGTTGACACTTCATGCTGTGTGACTGAAGAGTCGGAGAAAAATTTCTGAATGGAAAGAGATAAAGTAACAGTAATGTCTTCCACGTCAAGTTCCATGGTAAAACTTGATACATCTTTTTTTTTTTTTACCAGCTTCATGAAGGTATTTATTTTAAGTGTATGATTCAATGACTTTACATGAATATACAGAGTTGTGCAACCACCATCAAAATAAAGTTTTATAACATTTTCATCACCCTGAAAATTACCTTAAGCCCCTTTTTCAATTAATTATTGTCTCTATTCCTCACGCCACAACACTAGGAATTTATTACTTCTGTACAATTTCCTTTATTTGATCAACTTACATATGAATGAAATAGTATAATATGGAGTGTTGACATCCAATTTTTTCACTTACTATGATAATTTTTGAGGTTCACCTATGTAGTTGTATGTATCAGCACCTTTTTTCTATTTTTGAATGACTTTCACTGTACAGACAGATTACGTCTTATTTATCCAGTCATTACCTGATGCACATTCTGATTGTTGCCACTTTCTGGCTGTTACAAGTAATGCTGCTATGAATATTCCCATACATTTAAATCATATTTTTATTTTATTTAATTTTTTTCTCATTGAGTTTATTGGTACTTTTTAAATATACAGTACAGTTACATTTAAATGCCAAAAAAAATCCCATACAAGCTTTTTCACGTGGATATATGTTTTCATTTTTGTTAAGTAGGTATTCAGAATACAATTGCTAGGACATATGGCAAGCTTATGGTCAACTTTTAAAGAAATTGCTTGTCTTCCAAAGTGGCGGTATCACTTTGTACTCCCACCAGCTTTGTCTGAGGCAGAACATTACCTACCTCACTTCATGTAATTATCATGTGAGCTCTACGGGAAAGAGGATTAGATGAAAAAAGACAGGTAGGTTGCCTTGCCCAAGGCTGTGCATGACATAATGGTAGAGGCTGCCTTTTAATGAAAATTTGACTGATTTCAAAGTTTTCTTTCTTTCTCATGCTAGGACTCCAGGATTTTGAAGATTTTCTTCTTCTCCTCCTCCTCCTCCTCCTCCTCCTTCTTCTTTTTATAGGAAGGCTTTCAAATCCAGGTTCAAAACGAAATAAGGATGGATTAATAATGCCTGTCACAGGCACAGGCATCAGGCCTGTGGCACCTGTGCTGCCGACACTGACTACAGACAAGAGCACATCTCCTAATACTCTGCAGTAATATGTGATTAGCCCTTGATTTCTCATCACCTTTGCTGATATTAAACTCAAGATTATTTTAGTATAATTTTCTTCTCAACTCTTCAAGTGCAAGGGATATTCTATCAACTTAGAATTTTCTGCTTAATTGATGTGTTTCTCCTGGGGACTCAGAGCACCTGCTAGAAAGATGCTCTATTTTTCTCAGTATCCCTGTGAAACAACAGAATGTCAGGGGGTGGAAATGAAGCCCAATGCATGTTGCTTTGATTGAAAGAATCCAAGAATAAAAGTGAGCATAAAACTACACTTTTCTTTCCATTTTAAGTATGGTAAAGCAAAGGGATAGAGACTTTGAATAATGGACTACATCTCAAGAGCCAAAGAAAGATGGAGAGAAGCACTGAGTGCCCAAATTTCTCAATCCTTGAGCACCAGCTTACGGCTTGAGAGAAATTGGCCTGTGCTTGTGATTTGCTAAACGATTGATGTGGCCCGTTACATTCTGCTGATGCTGGAGTGTACTGAGGAGAAGGCTTCCAAGATGCAAGGCTCTCTCTCTCTCTCTCTCTCTCTCTCTCTCTCTCTCTCTCTCTCTCTCTCTCCCTCTCTGTCTTAGTTTATAATGAGCAGGCCATGGTTTTCATGGTGTGCGGAGAAGAAATTACTGCACAGAAATTTTTCTAGCAATCCTTAAATAAAAAATTAAGAAGATGAAATATTGTCCTAATCCAGTTTGTCAGTGAGGTGGCCTGTGAGCACCATACAATTTTATGATCAACAAAGAAAGATGAAAAATAATATCATTCATCCAGCAAGATAACAGAGCCCACTTGCCTGCCTCTCTCTCTTTCCTCTCTGTCATGAAAAAGACAAAAAAAAATGCTAATAGTAGTCAGCATTAAATGATGAAACAGATTTATGCTCTGTTTTTCTCTGTATTTCTCAAAATCTTCATAAAGAATGTTAAAGATGGCCAAGTTAAATATTATTTCTCGAGCTTTGATAATCCTTTACGTGGATTCATTTCCATCATAGAAATGGAGAGGCAAGATGCTGGGGAACCAGAAAGCCCTGAAGGAAGACAGGCTCTCCAGTCCTGTGAGGTCCTTGGTCACACAGGTAAGGGTGGAGGAGTGGTCTGGGTAGAGTCTGTGGGAGGACCTGCATGGTGAACTAAAGAGATTCAAAAGTAAGATGTTTGGCTTCCTAGATTCCAGAGTGAGGAGCTATGTCAGCAAGGCAAGCATGCAGGTAGGTATCTACCACTCTTGTATGAACTCATTTCCTCTGGGCTTTTGGTAGATCAGGCAACTTTGTATTTTTTAAATTTTACTTTATTATTTTAGTTTATTTTTTGAGACAGGGTTGTGTTCTATTGTCCAATCGTGGACTCACATGAGTCTCCTTTATCCTCCTTGTATCTAGGACTACAGCTGTGTTCCTGCTCCTGGTTATATTTTTATATTACATCAAAGTTAGAGAAGAGATGCTAGAAAGCACAAAAATATCCTTTATCCAATTATTTACTCTTGGTTCAAGTATTTCCTTTATGAATCATTGACATTTTGTCCTATTTACCTTATCTCTATTTGTCTGTGTATGTGTATACACGTGTATATCTTAGGATCTGCAGCAGATTGGTTCCCAGACCCTTGTGGATTCCAAACTCTAGGCATGTTCAAGTCCGCATAAATTGGTATTTGCAAATGACATATACACATCTGTCTGTATACTTTAAACCTACGTTATTTATAACGTCGAATGCAATGTGAATATAAGTTGATAGTTGTTATACTTTACAGTTTAGGGAAGAGGGAGAATTTTTTGTATTATAAAACATACAAACATTTTATATAAAGTTCTATAGTATAAAACAGAAACATTTTTCTAGCCACCAATGTATCTGTTGCCTCTCTAATCAACATGTCATTTTCTTCCTGAATTGTTTGAAATAATTGGATTATCCTGCCCCTTTCTTGAAATTCTGCAATGCTCATTCACTAAAAATGAGACTGTTCTACTACATAATACAACACAGAGATAAAAGGGAAAAGGAAATTTGAGTTTGGTGTGTGGTATTTAACCCACAGCCTGCATTCCACATGATTATCCAAATCCTGTCTCTTCTGGATATTGTTCTCTCTCTCCAGGATACACTCTGTTCCAGTCTCTAATCTGGAACATTTCCTCAGGTTTTCTTTGCTTTTCGTGACCTTGACAGTTTAGAAGAGTCCTGATTGATTGTTTGTATAAAAACCCTCAGCTCAGTGTATTCTGGTGCTTTCTTCTAACAGAGCTCATGGGGCTCCCTCTCTGTCCCTACCGGAACCATGAGGGTGGTGGTGACTCCTTCTCAGTGCCACACATCAGGCCAGTTTGTTTAGATCTTGGGGAATCTAAATTTGACTATTTAGTCAAGTTGGTCTCTACCAGGTTGTCCCCTCATAAAATTACTATTGTACCCTTTGTAATTTGAAATCATTTGATGGCACATAATATCCTATCCTTCATCAATCTTTCATTCTCCCATTCTGGCATCCTCTGGTGTTATTTCTAAGTCTGTCAGTGTCTCAGTATGTTGTGATTTGGATTAACATTTTCCCAAAGGCTCAGTGTTCGGAGGTGGGGCTTTTGGAGAGTCACAGATAACAGAGCACTAAACTCATCCACACTGAGAAGTCCCGAGCTGAGTGCACTGTTAGAAGGCAGACTGACGGAGGAAGTGGATCGCGGGAAATGCTCCCTGGAAGAGTACGTTCCCCTTCCCCACCTCTTCTGTTCTTCCTGGTTCTTTCCCACTCACCTTGCTTTCTGGCTGTCTTGAGTGAGCTGCTTTCGTCTGCCGTGCCCTGCTGCCACGGTGTGCCTGCCTTCAAGCCAGCCAATCGTGCACTGAAATCTCTGGGCCAAATTAAACCTTTCTTCATTTAAGTTGCTTTTGTGTGGGATTTGTTCACAGTGATAAAAAGTTCACTAGTAAATAAGGTAAGGAAAAGTGACTCCTTCCCCCAGCATTTAATTTATAAATATCATATGGATTCATGGATTCTTGTTTCTTTTTCATGAGTCAAAAACTCATTTCTATCTTTACCATTTGAAAGTTCAAATTATCCCATATTTGACGAATTTACAGGATATTAGCCTTTTTGCCTCGGGCAATGGGAAACATCTTGCAGGGATCTAGACAGATGGGTATGAAAAGCAGATCTATTCAGGCAATTACTTCAGCTAAGGCATACAGAGCAATTGAGGAAGATTACATTTTAAATTATTTTGGTCTTTATTTTATTGTAGTAAGAACCCTTCGTATGGGATCTATTCTCATAACAGTTTAAGTGTGCAGTAGAGTGTCCTTGACTATAGGCAGAGTGTTGCATAGCAGATCTCTAAAACTTTTTCACCTTGCTTAAATGGAACTTTACAAACACTTTACTTCCTCACTCTGCTTTACCACTGGCCCTGGGAACTGCCATTCAGCTCTCTACTTCTCTGAGTTTAACTACGTTTGATAATTCATGTAAACGGGACCTGGCTGATCATAATGTTCCAAAAGTTCATTTTTTATTATAGTGTGTGTCAAAATTTTCTTTCTTTCAAAAACAGAAGAATATTTCATTTTATGTACTTTGTCAGTTCAGTTTGACTGTATCGACTTGATTGGCCCAGATTGGTGGAACACACTTCTGGATGTGTCCGGGTCATGGAAACGTGACCTTGGGTAGTATTATCTGGTTTCTCTCCTTTTCCTCTCTGACACTGTTGCCCTCCTCTGCTTCCGACTACCATGAACAAAGTAGCTTTGGTCCACCACACCCTTCTGCTAGGATGTTTCCACCTTGGACCCACCTGACCATAGAGTAAATCCCCTTAAAACAAGAACCAAATTAAACTCCTCCCTTTTTGGTTATGAACATGAGGCATTGTGTACAGCAATGGGAAGACTAAATAATTCACACAGCCACCACCACATTATGCCTATTCGTTCACCCGTCAGTGAAAATTTAGGTTGCTTTTATGATTTAGGCATTGCAAATAATACTGCCATAAACATGGATTATAAAAGTTCTCTTGCTTTTTTGGCTAGGTACCTCAAAGTATAACTTCTATATCATATGGAAATTCTACTTTTAATTTTTTGAGGAACTTTTATATTGTTTTCCATAGCATCTGTACCATTTTTACATTCCCACCAGGAGTTCACAAAGGTCCCAATACCTCTATATCCTCCCAAACACGTGCTGTCCTTTAAAATCTCTTAATAATCATTCTATCAGGTATGGAGTGATATCTCCTGTGGTTCTGACCTGTGTTTCCCCGACATTGTATCTTTTCACATATGTTTTCCCCTTCTGCAGAAATGTCTATTCGAGTCCTTTGCCCCCTTTTAGTTAAACTGTTAAGAGTTGTTGTTTTTTTTTTTCTATTGAATTGTAGAGTTCCTTATACGTTTAGGAAATTAACCCCTTATCTGGTATATAGCTTGCAAGTATTCTCTTTAGTCTGTAGACTTCCTTCTACTCTGATTGTTTCCCTTGCTGTGCAGAATCTCTGTAGCTTGGAGTTACTCCTACGTGTGGGTTTTGCTGCCTGTGCTTTGGGTTGTGATCTCCATGAACTTATTGCCAAGACCAATGTCATGAAATCTCTCCCCATGTTTTCTTCTAGGCATTCTGTAGTTTCACTTCTTATGTTCATGCCTCTAATCCATATTGAGTTGATTTTTGTGTATGATGATGTAAGATAAGGGTTCAAATTCACTCTTCTGCCCGTGGATGTGGAGGGAGGACTGTAAGAGTGCAAGTGTGTAAGAGCTATGTAGTGTGGGAGTAGCCCAACAGAAGCTCTCTACCTCTTTCTCCTTCCCCCAGCTGAATGTGTGACTCGTGCTCTTTGTACTCCTATCTTTTACGTGTGTGACTGTGTGTGTGTGTGTGTGTGTGTGTGTGTGTGTGTGTTCTGTGTTTCTCTGTGTAGGTCACTGTCTCTCTTTTATGTGGATTCATTGTTTCTTTAAAAGTGTATACTCTCTCCCCAAACATTGTACCCTGATGCCTTTGGAAATCCTCTGAAATGCTTTTCCTTTTACTATGGTAATAAGCCTTCAAACACATAACTGAATTCAGATATTAAATACTGTAAACGCTATCATTTAGCTTCTGATGAAAATGTGCATTATTGTGTTTGAAATGACAAAAAAGTCGTGAATCAAAACAACATCTTTTTCCTTCCCCCTGTGAAGTCTTTGTGTGGAATAACTCAATCTCTTTTAGGCTGCATTCTCTGTGATGTGGGAAATAGAACCAGAGCTATTATGCAGTGATAAGATGTGGTTTCCAATTCTGCAGCACTGTAGGAATCTGCTCCATTGTAGGTTTTATCACCTTTCGATTTGCCAACTATTTCTAGTAGAGAGAGCATGATGGTCATCGTGGTAGGAGACAATACAGGAGAAGAATATGAGATCCGGAGTGATCCATCCACTCATTCATTCAATCAAACAATGTCTTATTATCACACAAGCTGGACACTCAGTTTGGTGCAGTGGACATAATATCAGACAAGATCCACTTCACATAGTTTTCTAAAGCTGCCTCTGCTACAGGGTAGGGGTTTTCTTTTCTTTCTCTTTTTTCCTTTTCCTTTTTCGTTTGTTAAGTAACTCAGCTTTCCTGCACTTGGTTTATGCAGTTCTGTCATGCTACAAACAATATTGAGGGCATAGCAAGAACTGCCTGCGTAAACAGGATGTGATACATTGACCCATGTTTTCTTATTGACTCCATGGAGCCCGAAGAGAGAATCAGACCATTTCTTCTAGGTTGATGCAGGATCTATATACAATGGTGGCAGTGAGTAAGACTTTGCAGGTTCCTATCCTAAAGAGGCTAGGGGATCCTTAATCTTTACTGTTTGGGGCACATAAAACATCATCAAAACCTAGACACTTTCTCAAGAAAATAGGTATTAGAAGGAAAAGAGAGACATTTCTGAGGTGATCTATTTAATCTTCTTTCTCCTGAGAGTGTTTCTATCCTATTTCCTTTAATAAAATGAAAGTGTTTAAGCCAAGTGTGGTGGCGCACACCTGGAATCTCAGCACTCTGAGAGGTGGAGGCAACAGGATCACAAGTTCAAGCCCAGCCTGGGCAATTTAGCAAAATTATGTCTCAAAATAGAAAAGGGGGGTAAGAATGTTGCTCAGTGAAAAAGGTCTGGATTCAATCCCCTGTACTAGAAAAGAGAAGAGCAAATAAAAGAAAAGAAGAGAAGAGAAGAGAAGAGGAATAAATAAAAGAAAATAAAGGAATGCAGGTGTTAATACATGGAGGTTGGGAGAGGTATGAAACTGGGAAAGCTCTGCAGGTTGGGATCATTGTTATCTCTGTGAGGCTTAGCAAAATAATATGTTCAAAAATAAACAAAAGAATTCGCATTGTCTTTTTTGTAGTTAATTTGTGGAATAAAAGTACTATGATACAGAGCCAGGGATTTAGCTCAGTGGTGTTACCACTTGCTTTGCAAGCATAAGGTCCAGAGTGCAATCCTCAGTACCAAAAACAAAAGCAAAAGGTACTATGATATTCTACATCAATCTCAGGCAAATTTAACTTTGCTTCTCTTCTAGCCTCTAGGGTACCCATGATCTGGAGCTCTGTAACAGAGACTGCCAGATGTTTTTTACTATATAGCCTCCCTATTATTCTTCCTTAGGGAAATAATTTTGATCTGCAGCTAAGCACAAGATTTTTGAGCCAAAAATTTACTTTATAAAATGTCCCTTATAGTTAAATGAATCTGCAACTAAAATCTGAATAAAAGGTAATACATAATAAAATATCATGTAGGTCTCCTGGAACATCTTCTTGGAAAAAAAAAAAAAGAGTATGCCTTTTCTCATGTTTAGCGGCTGGAACCTGGTTGTGATGGTAGGAGCTGAAGCATCCCTCTGGTGCTATGAAATCTCTATGTTGAGGATAGTAAAACAACAAGATGGAACTAGGTTAAGTCTCTGAAACTGTAGCGCTGCTACGCCAGGCTTGGTTTGCCTCTGGACTATCTTTACACAAAATAGAAATAAACTTTTTCTTTTCCTTCCTCCCTCTCTCCCTTCCTTGCTCCTTCTGCCCTTTCCTCTTTCTGTCTTGTTATATATAAGTGAAACTCTCAATACCTGATTATTTTAAGCCCAGAGAAACAGCCCAGAGAAAGCATGTGACTTATTCAGGGTCTCAGTGTCAGGGCTGTGATTACAATCCAAGTTCCCTGGAAGACACATAATCTCAAATTGCTTCTGAGTCCATTGTAAAAATAAAACACAGGACAAGTTAGATCTATATTACTGAGATTATCGGATGACAGAAAGGCCGTGCTGAAGGAATATATTGGACCTATTTTGGCTATTCTGGAGCTTGTGAATGTCTAAAAATGAGTAGATTTCTTTCTCATTTTCCTTTTTGTTTTAAAGAATGAAGTAAGACAAATTGAGAGATTAGTCCATCAGCCAATATTGATTTCCTTGAAAATGGCTGGTGCCAAACAATTACACGTACTGACTGGTTGATGTAACAAGTTGTGAGTTGAAATGAAGTGGAATAGGTTGGTTTTAGCTGGTGTCCCAGGGGTTTATGTACTTAGAGAATTGAGTAGACTTCATAATGGTGCTTTTAGGGACAATTCCTTTCGAAGGTTGAGCTAGATGAAGCAGGGGACCTAACAGCCCTCTTGGATATGTACAGACAATTAAGTGGCTTTTCCTGCTGGATTGGTCTTCTCGTCATGTTGTGAAGACATTTCTTTCTTATTCAGAGGTTTTACTTTTTAAACCATGCAATGGTTGATAAAGTAGGAATGTATTTCATAGCTTAGATCAATATATGAAAATATTAAGAACTGGTGATGATGGGCTTAATGTGAACAACAAAAGTAAATGCTTTTTCTGATGGATGGTTCCTTTTTAGAGACAGGGCACTATTTAAAACATCCTCAGTGACTTAGAATGTGACTTGCAGAGCTGCAATTGGAGCTGCTAAGGTTCTCTGAAGCATGAGCGATGAGAGCGAACTGGAACCGTTCTGTTCAGAGACTGTGTCCTCCAGGAAGCCTGCCAAGATGGGCTATCCTTGTCTGCTGGACCCTCCCTCAGGCTTCCAGGCATTCAGGAAGGATTACTCTTCGAATAGATATTGCAGGAGCCTTCAGTATGTGCCAAAACCCCACCCCACCGCTGCCCTGCTCACCACAAAAATATAAGGTAGCATTTTTTATTATTACTATTTTTATTAGCACTATTTTGCCAGTATTTACAATCTCTCAGTGACTTGCTCAGGGTCAGAGAGCAAATAAATATAAAAGATAAAATTTAAACCTATACATTTTGCTTCCTACTCAACTAAGAACAATGAAAAATTAAAGAAATGAAGAAAAATTCAGAAAGCTAAAGACTGGTGCAATTTAGCAATGTTTGTCAAAGGCTTTAAAATGTGCATAACCTCTGAATTGTCATTTCTATTTCAAGGAATGTAGCCTTAGAAAACAGTTGGAAAGGCTGCGTCTGTGTTGTAGATAAAAAAATAAAGTAGAAGATGATATTTTATAATAGAAAGATTAAATTAAAATATACAATGTCAGTTATGCATTTGTTGTTTTTACTTCTAAAGATCAGCTAGAATCCACATTTGTCTAAACAAAGGTGACCTCCAAGAGAAATGAAGCTGTGATAATTAAGAGCACAACTGAATTCTGAGTATTTCCTTGCTGTGACGTTCTCTGAAAGTTTTTTCTTTTTTAAGAGTAGGAAAAATTTATTGAGGAAAAGAAAGCTTCTGTCTAAGAAAGACAAAAGGGGGACCGGAAAATGGGTTGCCCACTCACCCCACTCCTCCAAGATGTTTTATACAGCAAAACCCATGTGGTGAGGCAGGTACAAAGTGGGACAAAACTATAAGACCCAATGGAAAATTACAAGGTGGGCATGAGGTGGGGCAAAACTATGACCAACCAATAAGATTACAAGTACAGTCACCCAGCTAATATTGATTAAATGGGAATCAAATGGGGGAGCAATTCACATAGCAAGCATACAAGAATTTTCAGTAAGGCTAGGGGTCAGAGATATTTCCTGGAAAGTCTAGTCAAGACCTTGGCTCCCCACCTAGCTGATTGAAACCTATTTACAATATCAATCACTGCTATTTATCCCCAGGGGAGGCACAAAGGTATAGTAGTTTCTGTCCTTCTACAATTCTGGCCTTCAGTGAATGTGTCTCGATTGTCCTCCATGATGGTTCCTTGCTGTGTTGGTTCCTTGAAGCCAGGCCCTGTCTAACTGCCTACAAGATGTCTAATTAACTTACCTATCTGAAGTATTCCCCCCTCTGAAGATGTACCCCTAACTGCTTTGAAGAGGCAAAGGACAAAGACAACTCTGGCTACTTCCAGCTGAAGAGGGTTGTAGTTGCGATCAGCAATTAGACTTACTCTACAGAGAGTCTATCTAAAGGCCTTCAGTAGGTACCTGGTATTGCAATCTTGGTAGCTGCATAACTTTTAAGTCTGGAAGAGACAAAGCCAAAGAAACAGTGAAGAGTGCAAGGGCTGAATTATAAGGTCAGCAGGATTGCTATGAATATAGCCCACAAAGAGGCTAAGGAGAAGGTCCAGGGGACTTCAGAATCCAACATACAAATCATATTGTTTAGTTTAGCAGGTCTGAGCTGTTTACAAGTTTGATCTGGTAGATCCCAGTAAAAGAAGTCTAGTACATTTCTCATTGGTTCCATTTGTATGACCACTTGGAGTTTGGTAGCCTCTAGGCAAGAATAAACAAGACTTTTAAGAAATTAGAGTATGCATAATCTAAGCATGAGAACACTAGAATGAAAGGGCAGGTTGGGGAGAAAGTCACACTTAGAAATTAAAATAGTGATTGAACCTGCTGGACATAGATTCTTTCATTGATAGAGGTTATCTATAAGTCTTATACTTTGTCATAAGTCTCTCTAGTTTTAGCTGTAAGAAAAGAGACAATTTGAAGAGCCAATTTCGCAAATATAAAACTCTAGCTGAGCTCTTTTTTTTACCATAATTTTTTCCTAATGGTCCATAACCATGGTCAGCTACTGGTAGAGCTGGAAACTGCCAGAAGGGGTCAGTGACTGGAGCCCCTTTTTATATCTACCTTTATTACTATGGCATTATTTTATACCTCTTTGGGTTATTCTTTTCTGCTGGATGTTTAAGATCAAGTTAAAGTAGACTTGTCAATCAACATGAACCTCTTGCTATCTCTCAAGGTCAGTCAATATCAACCAGTTTTACAAATACAGTACATATTGCTGTCTATATATAATAACTCAGGAATGGGTTTAGGAAAACTACTTGGCAGGACTCCCCTTGATAAACAAAGGAGCAGCTGCCTGGGAAAATTTTATTCTAGCCTTTGTTCACAAAGGGGACCCCGATAATTTCCATAGCCTTGTAGAAAATACATTGCTAAACATATTATTGTGATATATATACATTGGTCATGGTTAAATGGCTAAGTTTTCTAAGGGAAACAGTAAGGTTTCTTTTAAAGTGCTCTTGGTACAAAACAAAATTAAAGAACAAAGAGTTTCAAGTAACTGCTACTCATTGTTATTTCATAGTGTATATATTCATGCCTTCTGGATGTACAAGTCTTCTAGGATACTGTTTATGGTAATGATCTTTTATCAGAAGCAGCTGAAGTACAAGAGAAAGGCAGATACTTGAGTCAAAAAGATCTGATAAAAGATACATATCAAGCAAGCATGAGATAACCAGTCAAATAATAGTTTTCTTAAACTTATGTGATGTGTGTTATGTGTCACCATGCTTAGGGATGCTCAATCACCAAACAGTCAAAACAATGTCACACACTAAAATTAGAGGTTGGACCTTATGAACTCCTAAGGTACATTTATGTCTTGTGATCAGATGGAGGTGTTTAACTGAAAGACTATTTCATACTAAGATGAACATGTAATTGTTACAAAGAAAATGTTATGATTGTCATGATAAAATACTATGTGTAGCCCTTGATCTTAAGTTTTTCTATAATTTATAACTGTTTTCTGTTAACATTCTACAGGGGTTCAACTACTAGAACAATCATGGTTGATAAGAAATAACAGCCCCTGCAATTGTGTTTTATACTTCAAAGTGCTTAATGTTCAGACAGAATTATAATAGTTAAGCTCACTGCTCCTACCACACTACTAATGTCACTGATCTTCTCTTCTAGGTGTTCAACAACTAAAGTTTGGAGATCAAAGCCAGAAAGGTAACTAGGCTAAGGACTACCAATGTTTTGGGCCTAGCCCCTCAAGGTCTACAAGATCCAGTACACAAAGGAACCTTTCCTATTGGATCCTACATCTTTGGTAAGTCACTCAACCTCTTGAGCAGGGAGATTGCTCGGCACCAGTGGACAAATACACTGTGTGACAAAGGAGGGTCACCACGAGGAGTCTCCCATGCTTTCACTGAAAGCAATGTTGTCAAGCAAGGCTGTGACCCATCCTAATGGCTGACGCTGACAGAGGAGCTGAGAATTTCTATGCATGGCTCCAAAGTAATGTTTGAAAGTTTTTTGAATGCCTGCAATGCAGTTAGGGTATTAACTTCAAATGGCTACTTAGCACTATGGCTACATTAATGCTGGAGGACAACAGCACACTGATTTCCTTTGCAGGTTTCTTGATTCCATTTCCTTGGCCACCCTCTTGGCCTTGCGTGGTGGTCTCGGGCTATCAGCACCCTTCTGATGTACTTTTCCTTTTCCACATTTGCCTCCCCTTGAAGCCCAGTAATGAGGAATCCAGAACAGAGTAATTAGACTTGATGTGATGGAGGTGCCTGCCAATTATGCTGATAGAACAGGAGTCTTATTAGCCTAATAAAGTTTTCTAAATTGGATTTAAGGTTCTTGGTGAGGTGAGAATTCCTGTGAGAAGCTGCCTGTTTACAATGAGGTTACCTAAGGAAAAATGTTCACCGTGGATGAACTAGAGTGGGCTTTGGAGCCAAGTGGAAGTGGGTTCACACTCCGATTCTGCCCTTCATCAGCTGTTTGACCACAGGCAAACATTGAGCCTTTCAGAATCTCCAGGCTCATCTGTAAAATGGCAGTATTAATTCCCACCCACCTGAGAAGATTGTGGTGATAATTAAGTGGGTAAAAATACCAGCATGATGTTTGATATTTTATATGAATTAGTTTGGACATGGTAACTTAATTAGGCTACATGGCAAACAATAAAATACATCTAATCATGTTATAATTTAAAATATCTCATAATCTTGGAAAGCTTTGGAGATAGGACTGCATATGTATCTCATTCCCAACAATGAAAAATGCTGACAATTTCACTGCACTTGACCTCATTTTTTTTCTTTAAATGAGAATGAAAACAATAACAATATGAGGTATGTCTTGGGTTGTCATAAAGTATAAACCAATGACTATTTGAAAGTATTTACTCTAATGCCTGGCTTAGGAAAGGCACTTTCTATTTGTGACGAGACCAAAGTATTACTGACATAACTATTTTCATTTGAGCCTGAAATATATTGGTGGTGCAAGTTCCAATTTGAAGTTATCCAAACATATAAGTCATCTATATTTGGACTGTGAAATTATTCATATTATGTGTAATTCCATGAGTAAAGATTGTTTTAGCAATAATTAAGTCAAATTGGCTTAAGAAGTGTGTGTGTGTGTGTGTGTGTGTGTGTGTGTGTGTGTGTGTGTGTAAAATACTTAAGTCTAGGGTTAACTGGAGCCAGGAGCTCAAGTCACATCAATAAAAATGTCCCTTCATCTCTTGACTCTACCTTTGATTATGGATTGCCATGTAAATCTAAGCACTCCAGGTGGGACAAGACATGCACTATTCAGATAAAAATTGCAGAAAACACTGATTTGCTCCTGACTAGGCTTAATTCATTTTGAAGAATTCTAGTTGGATGATCTGTGAAGTTGCTGTCCCTATATGTGGTCCTGAAAACCCAGTCACCTCCAAATCATCCAATATTTCATTACCTACCCCAGTAGGCCCTAACGCTACAACACCCAGACTCCCCTCTAAGGATTTCTTTTTATCCCATACTGCCCTGACAATGGGAATTAAGAAGGGAATGGAGTGTATCTCTGGAACATAGTGTTGGATTTTTCCTTCCTTGAGAAGAGCAGCAATTTTAGCAAGAACTGGAGAATGTCCACTTATTCTGTAAGCATATGAACTATCTCATATGCCTTTGGAAGACTTCTCTAGACTGAGATTTAAGGCACAAAGACCTGATAATTTACTCTGTGAGACACTCATAGCTAGAGTGGCAAAAGTTACACCATGAGTGACCAATATTAATTGTGAGGAGTTTACTACTAACTACAGTTAGTAGCAGACAAATGAACCAACTAGAGCTGTGTTTGGAGCAACTAAGGTCTTGTACTTATTCTTCTGGGTCCTGTGAAATGAGCAGAAGTCAGTTTGTATTGGAAGGCATAGCAAAACCATTCTGTCTGGTTGGCACTCTCCGACCTGAGGTCTCTTGGACAGGTTTGAAGAGCTGATTCATTGGTGGTCTACAAATCCCCTAGTTGTATAAAGGGAACTTCTGCTTGATCATATCAATGAGTCAAGAAGAAGGAGATGTTTTTAAAAAATAGCAGAAAAGAAAATGAGAGAAAATAGAAAGAAGCAAAACTTGTTTACCCAGTGCCTGTGTCTCAGTGAGAAGAGATAGAGCTGCCAATAATTGAGCAAGGCTCTCTGATGATATAGATTAAACCAGAAGGGCCAACAGTAAACAAGATGAACTTCAAAAGAGGAGCATCTCTGCTCTCTGGGGACCTCCATTAACGAGTCACCAGATAGGCAATTACTGTACAGTTCTTGTAATGACCGGGATCAAACACAAGCATTCTGCACAGTAGGCAGTCAGAAAGCAGGCAGACAAAAAAACTGTGAAAATATGCCATTAAATCTTAATTATTCTTCAAAGGAAAACAAGCACAACCAAGGGGCAGAGAAGGAAGGAATAGTCTGAGTCTCACCAATGCCTGGGGCGCAGAGCAATAGTACAGCTACTGTTTCAACTCTCATGTTTGCTTAAAACTGAATATCTCATTCTGACTTCTGAGTGGAGCTCAGGAATTCATTTTACATAAGCATCTCAGGTTCTTGGGCCTCGTATATCTTTGTCTGGAATATATGAAGGCAGTAGTAATGGGCCAGATTTGGAACAGAAGGTGTAAATAAAAATGACTGATATTTATATTACTCAGAGCAAATATGTCACCACCTAGGGCTGCCCACTGATAACACTTGAATTCAGAATAGTCTCTTAACACCCTTGGAATTGATAACATGCATTTATTAATTCACGAGCATCAAGTGTCATGCTTGTCAGGTGTCATGTCTCTCAGGCATACATACGAGATGTCCTTGACTGCTATGTGGAAACCATTGCACTCCAAACTTAATACATGTCTCTAGTTAAATGGAAGACTGAAAAAAGTGCAAAGGGTATTGATGTGGAATGCTAATTTGGAGTCCTGTACATATCTCTGTGTTGCATGTTTCTGTGCATTTTTAAGAGATGTGGATGTTTTACACGTTCTACACATTTAGTTACTATTTTTGATCACTTGATAATGTAGTTTAAATATTCTGTATCTATAAGAAAGGCTGGCCCAGGACTCATATTAGAAATACAATGTGAAAAAAACAATACATGCAATTTTAAATTTTGTAATAGCTACATTCAAAAAAGGAAGAAAAGGGCTGGGGATTTAGCTTAGTAGTTCCAGTGCCTGCCTTGCAAGCGCAAGGACCCAAGTTCGATCCCCAGTACCAAAAAAAAAAAAAAAGAAAAGGAAGAAAAGAAACTGGTAAAATTGACCTTAACCTCTATAATATGTGTTATGTTTTACTGAATCAAAAAAATCTACAGTATCATCATATCAATATAAAGTAGAAAGATGAACAGTGAAATATTTTACATTCTGTGTCTTTCGGTGCTGCCTGAAGGCACATCTGCATTTTACAATTCCAACCCCGCTCCATTTGAACAAATCACATTTTGTGGGCACATGGAGCTGACGGTTAACGTATCACGCAGCCCAGGGCTGGACTGTGTCTGCAGTTCCATTCTGCGGATTTCCACTTTTATATATGATCCAAGTAAGATCTAGGCTCCACAGGTCTAGTACAGGTATTGTGCGGCTCCTTGAAGCCTCACACAACAAATTAGACATCACCTAACCTCAGACCTGCTGAACTAAAAAAAAAAAATGTGGTCAACCATGATGTCTTTGACATGGACAGCTTCAAGATTGAGGTATGCGGTCACTGGCCCATATGGACTGCTCTAGTGGAGTCCAGTGCCAGCCAGTTTCCTAGTACAGGTACAAGATATCTGACACCTGAAACTTGAAGCAGAAGAGGCTTAGTTTGGCTCATGATTTCATTTCGTCATTGTCTCGCTTTAAGGTAGACATGGCATGGCAGAGGGGCACTGAGGGGGAAAAGCTACTCACTCTGTGGCAGCCAGGAAGCAGAGAGAGAGAAGAGTGAAAGACAAGAACACACCCTCCAATCCATGCCCCTGAGTGACCCACTTCCACAGGAACCACCTCCTAACAACATTTAGCAGCTGCGCTTATCAGTGGACGGACTCACTGATGAGTATAGTGCCCCCCACGAGATCCAGTCTCCTTCCACGCACATGAAACTTTGGGAGGACACTTAGACGTAAGCCATCACAGGTCCTCTCCGCTGGGGAATTTGAACTTGATACAGAGGGAAACACTCCTATTCTGTTCGCTTCACTCTCTATCCTCCAATCAGCAGGACTCCGTGAAAAGGGAGCGGGGTTCCTAGAAAATGAATATGCATAATAATCATCGGGTATGAAACACAGATGCTAAGCCCTATTGCTCAGCTTGAAAGTAAATATCTCACTTTGGAGTTAGAAAAGGGCTGACCAAAACATACAATGTGTATTTAAATTTTTTAATGTATTGTAGTAAAAGACATGTTACCTTTAACCTCCTCAAAATCTTCTCCCAGTTAGAACACACCTTATCCCATGATTCTTATCTCTTACTGAAGCAGTTCCAGAAGTCCTCTGTCCCGGGTGACTTTAGTCATACTGTCATGGCTGCCAGGAGGTCCTGAATATATTCAAAATGTCTACCTTTTGTGGTCATGCTGGCTTTGGGAAATGCTGGGAGTGGCGTGGTGGTAGATCCATGAGAGTGGATAAGGATGTACTGTAATGTTTTTATTTTATAGTAATTGCCATAAGTATTTTGAATTGATTCAGGACATCCAGATAGCCGTGACAAAAGAGGACTTTCAGAACTGCTTCAGAAAGTGGCAAGAACAATATTATAAGTGTATTAGACTTGAGGGGAAGTATTTTTAGGGGGATGAATGACAATGTGTCGTTTATTATAATACATTTTTAAGCATTCATTGTACTTAGGAACATACTTAATATGTTTTTGCAAAAACATCACTTTTCTAACTTTAATAAAAACTCCATTATAGAAGTAGCCAGTAGTCCTGCCCCTGCCTGGCAAGTGCAGTGTTCTGAGTTCAAATGCAGTCCCAGAAAAAAAAAAGAAAAGAAATAACCAGGTGAACTTCGAGGTACTGGCTAGGGACACACACAACTCCATCACCCTATTCTGTGACCCATCTTGTTTATCCCAAAATCTCTGATGTTTGGGGGTGGGAGGAATGAAGAGGGAAAATGCAAGTGATCCCTCGTCTTCATCACTGATTAGAGCAATTGATTCCCTCTCCTCTCTTCATCCCATCTTTTGCTGCACCGTGTGATTTCATTTATAATGTGAAAAACGTTCTGAAATATTGTATTACTTAGATGTCATCCACCTAAGTGTTTATTTCCCACATTTCTTATATGTTTTCAGTCCCTTTCACAACCTGTAGGTGTTTGTAAAGTCAAGGAACAAGATTTCTGCTCCAAGGGTAATTGTAGAAGAAAGAACCACCCAGGAGAAGATCGTGACCCATGGGGATCCACAGGAAACAAACATGTGAGAGCCACTGGAGACCAAGGGAGTTCTTATGTTTTATATCTTGATGCCCCCACAAAGCCTCTTGTGCTCATAGATTGGGGCTTTTTGGAGGTGATGGGTCATCACTGAATGACCCTCATCAGTGGATTGGTCTAGTGGTGAGTTTCTAGATACATGTGACGCTGGGAAGTGAATCCTGGTGGGAGGAGGCGGATCACTGGGGATACTGGCTGTGTGGGAAGATAGCCTTGCCTCTTCTCTTGAGTGTTCTTTTGTCCCACTGCCATGCCATGAGCTATTTCTCCTATGCGTGCTCTTCTGCCAGGCTCCCCTACGCCAGAGCCAGCTGACTATCGACCAAAACTGTCAGCCACAACAAACTGTTCCTTCCTTAAGTTTTGGGTGTTGGACATTGTGTCTCAGTGGCAAGGAAGTAAAGAGGACAGGGTGATTGGGATCAGCGAATACGTCTTCTTATTAGTTCATCACCAGCTAGATGCTCAATAATCACAACATGAACTGCAAGTCCTCGTTCTTCTACTTGTCTGTATCATCTCCAAGTTCTTCAACCTAACCACAGAGTTCTCCAGAAAAACAAAATAACTAAATGTCTAAACCACCATAGCATTGTTATTTACTGTAATAAACAGTAAAGCCTTTAATTTTGTTATGAAATCCTTGCTTACCAATGGCTCAGAACCACTCACATTGGCACACGTGGCTATAGTACATGAGGAGTTGAACTGCTACAAAGCAAACACTGACTTGCTTCACAGAATATCTGACTGCTCAGGGAACTTCTGCACACATGCATTCCATCTTCCTACCCTTGAAGCATCCCTCGTGTGGTTGGAAAGAGCAGACAGAAGAACCATGTTGTAGTCAAGGACAATGAGGTCAGTGAGTGTCAACTGTGAAATCACAGAACAATTGCTTATCACAGTCAAGGCAAAGATGCTTTCCTTTCATTGCAAATGTTGGTTCTTTTCTTTCGCCTCTTGCTACCACATTCTCAGAGAGGAGATTCCCATACATGCCCAGCATCTATGTTCTTTACCACCTCTCTCTAAAATGATGCTTTCCAGACGAGATCAGGCCTGACCATGGGGCTCTGGAAGTGGTGACAGTGAGCGACAGTGATAACAGCTCCCAGATCACTTCGGTTTCACGTCTCCTCACAGAAAAGGCAGAGAACCAGGAAGTGTTTCCCTTTATTCAAACTCTAGCTTGCCCAATGGACAGGGAGAGAATACTTTCCATTGTATGGTTTGAGCGCAGTAACGAAGGCTGTGAAGGGAAACGGCCCTTCTCTGTCCTTTTCATCTCAACATTAGTGACATGAAGCTATGACAAGCTGAGGATTGGCCTGTGAAGAAGTCCGTAGGAAATTCTGCCCAATCCAGGACCTGGTAAAAAGAATGTGCCCCGTGGAGAGACGTTTTTTGTGCCACTTCAGATGAAAGTTGTCGGAAGAGCAGGAGGAATACTCTTCAGCAAGCAGCAGACTCAGAGGTTGTAAAGGTAAATCCTCTCTTGTGCACCTGAGAGTAGATGTCACAGCTGGGACCATGCTGGGATCACAGGCCAACCCTGTAGAGTGAGACTCCAGCTTACGCAACCTCTTCTCATGTTGCGTGGCAAGCCTAACATCCCCTGCTGTCCAGTGGATGTGGTCAGGCCACAGTGGTTCCATATTTGGTCAAGTAAAGTGAAGCTTAATTGCCTGCATCTTATGTTAATCGTCACTGAGCATTAATTGGTTGTGTTATCTCGAGACAGCAGATACTAAAGATCAGTATGGAAGGCATCTTGCAACTGTGTCCAGTTCTCTCCCTCGGCAAAGATAAACACGAAACCTTGAGAAGGAATATAATTTTCTAAAATCACAAAGAGGGAAAATACCGTTCTCCCGTCTTCTGGTCTCAGCCAGTTTTTCTCTTCTAGACTCGCCATGCCCCTGTCACAGAGTGTTTACCAGTCCATGTCTGGACCCTTAGAATAAAATCCCACCCCTTTTTCTAGGTTGACACAGCTCTGAATGTGCTCCAACCCCATCTGCTGTATCTACCTATTTATTTCTCTTTAGTTACTTGCCTTAGTTCCAGTGGCTGTGCTGTCTTTATTGAGCTCAATGTCCCAGCCTCAGAGCACTTTCCCCTCCCTTTCTAGAAATGCAGGACTCTTCCTTCGGTGCATTTGTAACTTTTTTTTTCTTCCCATTCTGCTGAATTTAACTCCCAAGTCTGTGTGCAGAGAGATCCTTTCTTCATCATAAAGTCGCCCACACTTTTCTTACATTCTCTGCTTCATTGCCCTTTTAATATCAACATCTGGAATTTATCTTTTTGATATGTGTATTTAATTGATTTCCACTTCTGTTCCTCTCCCCATAGACAGCAATCACCAAGAGTATTTTTTTTCACTGTTATATCTCCACTAACCAGAACAATGCCTTTCCAATAGGAAATGTTCAGTTAACAAATCAGATGCACTTTTTATTTGCATGCAATTTTAATGAATTAATAAATAAGATGCATTATTTGTGTACAATTTTTTGAAATCAGGATGCATCTTGAAATCGATATCTACATTTTACGTAGCAATATTGCCTCTTACTATATGTCTATAAATCTAACACTTATACTTACCTGTGATAATGCCTATAAACTTATCAACATCTTGCCTATTTATAATTGCACTTGAGGTTTTCCTTCCCGAAGCTAGCTTTGTACTCTGTAGTCTTCTTCAACTTGTTTCAGAGTTGACACCCCAGATTTGATTGATGTTATAGTTTGCTTCTAGGTGTGTCCCCAAAGTTTCATGCACTCTGAGGCAGGTTCTAGGGAGGTGACTGGATCATGGATTAGTGATATTCATCAGTGGCTTGGTTTACTGATGAATTTATAGCTAAATGTGATATTGGCAGGTGAACCCTCAAAGGACGAGGTGGCCGGGAAAAGTCTAACTCTATCTTCCTCTCTGTGCTTGCTTCCATGCCATGAGCTCTTTCTCCTCTGCCATGCCTTGCTGCCCTGCCACCTTATCTTACAGCCAGCTGACTTTGGACTGAAACCCGTCCGTACAAAGTGAGTCAAAATATACCTTTCCTCCATCGAGTTGCAGGTGCTGAGTATTGTGTCTCAGTGACAAGAGAAGTACGGTAGCTAAGAAAATGGATGAAACAATTTTTTCAGCCCTAGCACACAGCTGCTACATTGATGAATTTTGATGTTCAAATAGAAATAAATTTCAATTCTTAAAATTTTCTTTTGGGGACTTTTGAGAGCTTAGTGAAAATTATGGCAATAATGAGAGACATCTTTTAATGGCATTAAGTCAGACAAAGTCCCAAGCATAGATAAAATTTCCGTTTTCTTGATTATGAAAATTAAAAGCAGATAGATGATTTAGTCACTACTATTTCTGTGTGGAAAGTGATATAATGCGACTAGAGACACCTCCTTCCCCATAATTCTCTACACTTGCAAGGCATCCACTTCCTCATCTTTTTCTCTCACCTTTAACTGTTTTTTCCATCTTCCTCTTCTTTTATTGGCTCTTTCTCTATTTCCACATCTTCCTTACCAAAAGGGATTTCTGAACAGTAAAACTACAGCCTAAAATGAATGCAAGCTCACATTCTTCAACAGAGAAGTGATTTTCAAAAAGCTTACCCCCACCGCAGTTTTTTACAAGAAATCTTCACTTTCTCAATACAAAAATCATTCTTGTCAGAGGAGCTCCAGAGATAAAGATGAAGTGATCACTGTGCCCCCAATTATACCAGATGTTGTATTTTTACAAAGGAGCTTACCTCGCAGATGAAATTATTCTCTTTTTTTGTTTAAAATTCTTCTTGCAAAATTGCTATATCCTTTATTTAAGGTGCATTATGGTTCACTGTGATAACCTCAATAATAAATACAGCTCCAGTAGGAAAAGCAACAAAAGCCTGTGTAGTGCCACACTGACAGAGAGCACTGAGGATTGCAAAACACAAGGAGAATGAAACAAATGGTGAATGAATGAAACAGCAAACGCAATAGTGATGGATTTTACTCTATAGATAGAGGGATCCTTCACTCGGGTCAGATTCAAGTTTGCATTACAACTGGGCATTTGGAAGCAACGCAGTGTTAAGGGTATCTCGGGAAAGCAACAACAACAACAAAAAATTCAAACCCATCTCTATGGGGACACCTTCTCCTTTTGCCTCCAGAACAGCAAGTGTGTCCCTTTTGCCATTTTATAATGAATGCCCAGTGCTGTGACAAGAAGGCCAAAGGGCTTTGTTTTGCATCTAACAGGTTTGCAAAGAGATTAACAGAGTCTAAAGGAATTTAAAAAAAAATCTGGAAACATGAGCTTGGTGTTTTCCTTTTGCCCTGAGTGCTGAAGTCAGGGGAGGAGACAAATAAACTAATTTCCACCTTGACAAGCCTAGCACATCTGTGATTTCAAACAAGTAAACAGGACGGAAGGGATCAGGTGTCTGCCAGCAGCACTCGCAGTCCAAGTGGTTACCACGACTGTGATTTCTACTTCTGATTTCTTCAGCCAGAGTGATATGTTGAGGGGGAATCAGGCAGGTGAAATTGGTGAGTCTTCCATTCAATCAAGCAAAAATAGACTGAGAACTTCATATGCGCTAATCCCTGTTCCAGGTGCTCTGGAGAACAAAATTAGGCTCTAGGGTTTGTCCTTGTCCTGCTGCAAACTGAGAGTCGGGAGCAGTCCTGCTGCACCCATGGCGTGTGTGCTGCAGTAGGCTGTTTTGTTATCATTGAAAGCTCTGGAAGGTCTCCCACCACCGGTACAGAGAAAGACACAGATGGATCTACACAGGGGTATTTATTTAAAAGTCAAGATGCAACTTTGCATTTTACTCATTTATTTTATTTTATTTTATTTTGGCTAGCTCTTTTAGAGTGCCATAATTGGGGAAAGGGATTTGGGAAGGAAGGATTTCATTGTTCATGGTTGTGTCCTATTCACTAGGAAACAGTAAACACTCAGTGAGTAATTTGTTGCATGGGTGAATTAGTGATATAAGTGCAAAATCTAAAGTAGAGGTTAGAAATCTGACACAATCCCTCTCACAGGTAGGTTAATGGAATGAATGAGGTGATGTTTGAGAGTGGGGTTAAACAATGAACTTTTTAATTTAAAAAAATTGTAACATTGATATAAAAATATAAAGTAAAATTTGGAAAAGAAAGGTCAATGGCTCCAGTTCCATAGACTTATCAGCATTATTAGCAGGTGCAATTCCTGTGTGTTGCAATGCATATCTCTCTAACAAGGCTGCAAAAGTTTCCCTGAGAGTACAATAGAAGACCTTGCTTCATATTTGTAATTGTCAATACAGGTGTCAGAATTGTCAATACAGGTGTTAGAGTCCCTAACAAGTTAGCCTCCAACAAATCAGGCAAGTCACGATTTACTCAGAAATTCAATGATGTGGATTTTAAAAGACAAATGAGTTTCAGACAAAAGAGCATAGGTCAGCCAAGAGCGAGAGCTATAGAAGGGCAGTGTTCCCCGTGGGAAGTGAAGCCAGATCATGATTGGGCATATATGGAACCAGGGACAAAGAAGGTGAGACTCAAGGAAATGTGTACGTTCGTGTTTTAAGCTCTTGCATGGCCTTCAGAAATCCATTAATATTTGCAAGAAAGAAGGCTGAAAGATCTCAGCAGTGGGACCCATGGGAGCTCATCTTTGAAGACATAGAATTAGACTAAAAGGAGAATAAGGACAAACGCAGGCAAAAGCTTAGAGGATGAGATCAGGGCAGGAGATGTAATTCTCTACAAGAAACCATTACACCAAGAGGGAAAAAATTACTTTTTTTTTTTTCCTCTAAGATGGAGCCCCCAAGGCCATTTGACTCATGGCTATGTTACCCTCAGGCAGAACATCACACATACCTAATTAGCTTTTGCATACACATTTGAGGTCTATTGTCCTTAGAGCAAAGAATGGCTCCAGGCCTTGCCCAGCATTTCTGTTAATGTTAGGGAGTTAGGTTGGTTCCTTCTCATTAAGGCCCAATGCAGGCTTTTGGGCAAAGTATCTCTCTTTGCAACGTTCACATTCTTACAGGGTTCTCTTCCTAGGAGCCCAGAGGATGAACCTTCAAATACACCTGGGAACAATGAGGGGTCCTGGGATGCAAACAGGTTCTCTAAATGGCCACCAGTGACTCATGTTTATAATTTTGATCCATGCATATCTCTAAATATCATCTCTAGCAACAACAAATCTGTAATAAAGCACCCTGTGATATTCAATTGAATAGATGTTTTTTGAAGCTCCATGGAAGACCTCAGTTCATAAGCTAATCCTTCAGAAAACATTTAACATTCCTTGATTGGTGTATTGTATTAGTAAGCATTCCTGTTGTTGGGACACAGTTCCCAACATCCATAACTTAAAGGAGAGGTTTAAATTGGCTCACAGTTTCAGAGGGTTCAATCCGTAATTGGTTGGCTCTGAGGCAGCAACATCACGGCAG